TTTGCAGATAAATGGTTAGCTCGTGAGCCAGGAGAGCCAGGAGGCCGAAATTTTTAAGGAGTGCTCCCAGCACATACACAATTTTAAATGTCGAGTTCAGCCCTCAGTCATTCGCTGTTATTGTAGACGGCTCCCTGATACTTTTTGCAGTAGGATGGTTAGCTCGTGAGCCAGGAAAGCCAGGAGGCTGAAATTTTCAAGGAATGCACCCAGTAATTGTACAATTTAAAACGTCGAGATCAGCCCTCAGTCATTCGTTGTTATCGTAGACGGCCCCTCGATATTTTTTGCAGTTGAGTGGTTAGCTCGGGAACCAGGAAAGCTAGGAGGTTGAAATTTTCAGGGAATGCACCCAGTAAACGTGCAATTTTAGATGTCGAGTTCAACCCTGGGTCATTCGTTGCTATGGTATACGGCCCCTAGATATTTTTTGCAGTTGAATGGTAAGCTCGGAAGCCAGGAATGCAAGGGCGCTGGGTTTTTCAAGGAATGTTCCCAGCACATGTACAACATAGGAATATCGAATTCAGCCACGAGGCATTCGTGGCCCCTCGATATTTTTTACAGTTCAATGGTTAGCTCGGGAACCAGGAGTGCAAGGGTGCCGAGTTCATTACCAGGTTCTTGGTGGGAACGGGATCTATATAAGCACCGGTTCTTCTGCATTTCTCAGTGTTCTTCGTCGGCAGTCATCTTCGGCACCTGGTCATCGTTCGGATGACACATCTACTGATCGGCCTATTCACTACAACGCTACAATCTGTTGCGTAATTCCACTTTTCATGGTAATTTTTTAACCCATTTGCATGTTTATAGGCTATCATTAATTGCTCCTCTCGTTGTCACATTATGCCACTTTGTACCTAAACTACTCGATTGTGAGCTCTGCCATCTTCACATTATTGCCATAACTTCTGTGCTCCTTGAATGCTAGTGCTGTTTGCACAGGGGGCACCTTCCCGCCTAAAACCACATGTACTGTATTTTATGTCAGCCAACACCCTTACATGAGTTTAGATCACTTTAATATACATGTGCTCATGGATGGGATTTAGTACATTTTCTTTTAACTTTCCACTCGGCTTTCATCCCATCCTCTTTGCATCCTACATGGTACTTATTTCGCATTAGAGTGTTTCCCACCTTTCGACCGCTGAAGTTTTTGGGAGTTCCTCCAGTGGGTACCGGTTAAACAGTCACCAGACAGGGAATCCTGTCGCAACCTGACTGTGGAGGAGTAATTTGGGTATTGGTCGTAGCCCGATGGGCAGTCCTGCTCAAGTGCACGGTTTCTAAAAGGGCTTATATTTTTGGCCGGGCGCATTCCTTCTTTCTCTCGTCAACAAAAAATAAAACTACTTATAATCAAGCTATTTCATCCGGCAGACTGCTGACGGGTGTTTTGGCTCAACCATTGAGTGCTTACACGAAAAAGCACCTTTTTCGCACTGACGCACATGGTCGCATTACCACTATTACTGAAACTGTTGATAGCATTCGCTATCACACATATGCCTGCAGTTGCAATTGCATATGCGGCCGTATGGTTCTTTCTGACGGATTGGTGCGATCCTCCGTCACCGGCTCCTG